TTTTGTCTTTAGAAGATGCTGACAATATTTTGTTTTACCTCTAGCTTCGCATCCAATTCACGCAGTGGCAGCTGTCCGCTGAAGTTCTCAACCATGATTAATTAATACCGTATACAAACATTAATATTAAGATGACCGTAAACAGAAACACACGCACGTATATATATATATGTGTGTGTACTTAGGCAAACACACGATCACGTGTATTAACAAATAATTAAGCGGATACATCGTATGGTTGTTTGCGTTACTGTTATTGTTTGAACGAGCTGAAGTGCTTCAGCAAAGGTCGGTATTGGCTGTTGGCCGTCACCGTACACAGACGCAGCCAGTTCAGCAGCAAAAGAATTAGCCCATTCTGCTAAAGAGACTGGCTTCTGTCTCCTGAAGCAGCCGCAGCGGCGTGACACAGAGGCGAAGAAAATTCGCTTTCCGCTACCAAGTTCATATACGTATAGCAGTCGTGGTGGCGTCACGACAGGGTTATATTGGCACGCGGCTGGCATCACATACAGACAAGGACTGCTAGATATCAAATGGATGTCGGCGTTTAACTTTGGAAAGTAATCCCAACACGTAAGTCAGGGGAACGTCCGTCGATTACTACGGATTGACCTCCATTGAAGCCAGCCGACCGCCCAAGGCGAGGCGGTTCGTAAGAGGGATATTGCGCAACAACAACAACAACATAATGATGAAATTGAGAAAAAATTCGAAATAAGCGAGAATCTAATCCAGCGCTGTGGTCATCACCTATCCCTAGATAATTATTTACCTTTGAAAGCCGTGTCCACAACGAGTACAACTCGTAGCAGCGGCAACAACGACTATACCGTAGCTGCAGACGAGGAAGGCTATAGAAATGAAAAAAAGGGAAAAATTACATGCATTTTTCTGTAGATTAGACTTCTAGTTTTACGGCTGCTGGCATAATTAATCGAAGATGTGACAGGGTGAAGATTAATTGCCATACCATCATCGTCGACAGAAATGGCAATAAGAAGGATATCGGTATCATTATTATAATTATTACTGTGATCAGGATGAAGAGCACTGGCAACAGTAGCAATGCAATAATAATAATTATAGGAATATTGAAATTTTATGTACAGAGTCACTTCGAAAAAACCGGACTCTACCAAAATTCATTTACCATTGTCCCTCTTACCTGCGCTTAGCTGTTATCGAAACCACACCATAGCAGCAGCAGCAGCAGCAGCAGCAGCATTAGAAGTCACATCAACAAAAAGCGGGTATTATAGTTTAGTGAAGCAGCGGCGTCGTGACCGCCGATGATCGAATGCCAACTTCCCACCATCACCTCACCCACCCTCTCCTTTTCCGGGCTTCCAGATGTCCGCTCCCTCCCTCCCTCTCTCCCTCTCGCTTTCTTATTTTAATTTTTGACGCGCTTTTTTCGGGAGGAAAACCACGAACATTTTTGCTTGTACCGGCGAACGATTCGAATCCAGGTCCTGATATGGTGGTGATGATGATGATCGTGGTCCTTATGATAGTGGTGCAGTCCGTCTGGCAGCTTTGGCGCGCGTTGAACGATGTGTGTCCATCGTTCTTCATGACACGGATACAAATAAAAGACGGACAGACCGTGGGTGAAGCGGTAATTGGAGACGAAAGACTGACCAACAGCCGCTGGCGGAGAGTGGCCGAAGTCGATGAGCGTCCGTATACGAGTGCTGAAGCAACATAAAACGTGTATGCTTTTGTAGCGGATCCGCACTGGTTATTATAGACATGATCGTTGCCGTTACTGTTATTTTTTTTTGTTGTAGATCACATCACTTCTTTGGCCATTCTTCTTCGAGACAGTCGCCAGTAGTTGAAGGAGATCATGTAAGCGAAGGCGCGGTAAACACTTACGGACGTAAACAGAGTAACAACAAAAATTGGCCAACATTAAGACAGATCGACCGATCGAACAACATAACAATGGCGTCAGACATGAATGCGGAGACGAGGGGTTCGCTGCTGCTGCTGCTGCTGCTGCTACGGCAACGACAATCACTACAGAAGTGCTCGTCATCGGTCGCTATTCGAACCCTTTCCGCTGCAGTCAGTGTTTTTCAATTATTCCTCTGATAAATAGGAGGTAGGAGAGGACAAAAAGAGCGAAGGAAACATTACTCGATGAAATTAGTTGGATAGTTCGTTTGCAGAATTCGTCCGCCCGCTGCTGTTCGATGCCTGGGGTGGCCTTTGGCGGACAGGCAAACAAACGCGCAGATAAACCAACACTGATGAGGTGTTGCTATGTTGAAACGATTGCAACTATGTTCGATACATCCGCACGCCAAAGATGCCGGGAACTTCGTTATTGGTCAACGGTAAAATGGCATGAGGAGGGCACGAGCGATCCTGACGAGAAATGATGAACGACACTACGGTTGTCAACGGCACCACCATCACTAACAACAAAACGAAATGATTGATCGCTTGTACAAAGCCGGACTCCTTGTCACTATCATCGTACGCTTTTACCGGTTATTGTTAATCCTCGTAATCTGCTGTGATGCAGCGTAGATTGACGTCGCCAATCAGTCGAATCTATTCGTGTCATTTGTAGACATAAGCCATACACACGCATCATGTTATACACTACCATAAAGGCCCGCGTTTCGTATAATGGAGCTTCAAATACTCATGATCATGTATGAGTTTATGTTAAATCTTCATTGCAATCGAATCGAAACCAGTTGCTCCTGCGAGCTTAAACACTAGATCTGGTTCACGGGTACCTTCATACAGGTTAACACGTATAACATATACAAAACAAATGCAAAACTGCTGTGTGTTGACCTTTTCACAGCTGATTATAAGGACAAATCCAGTTATTCTGGTGCAAGGTCACTCTTAGGAGAGAATGTAGGGGAAATGTCCGGCACATTGACAGTAAATCGTATAGCGAATTCGGTCTTGATGACACGATCGAAATAATCTTCTTATAGTTTGTTGGCTACTTTGTAGGTGAAATGTCCTTTACGCAGACAAAGCTTCGTTGTTCTCATTAGTTTTTGCAATGTATACTTCGACGAGACGTTTCCTTATTGTTGGATCACTAGTCGCATCAGCATTAATAAAACCACTACAGAAAGTCAAATTTACATTTGACTAACACACTCTATGGATTCATAACGAGATTATGGCTTTACCGGGTTCGTACGCTTCCCAGACCGCTGCCATTGTCACTTAACAAACACGTGTAAACACAGAGTCATTTATCTTTTTTATGTAGTTTAGTACCGTGAAGTCGTATTAATCTAGACCTATAATTTCAGAAAGAATTTATGTCACACGAAAAAGCTTCATTTGTTAATTGGAAACACATCGTACATCCGTTGCTACAATGGCGTCTGCTGATATTAGAGATAATTACGCCAATACGAAGGGGACTTAGTCACATTTATTTAATCCTCATTCCGTATATTTTATTTGATCGCTGATAAGTATACCACGTATATAGGCTAAGATGTATCCGGGATTTCCGAGACGTGGTCATGTCATGGATGTCGCGCGTGGGAACGCCTTTCGTGTCAACATGACTATTATTATTATCTATGCAAATGCCATTTCATTTGCATTAAGAAACACTTAGAGATACCACTTGCATTCGTTTCGTAATGGTTTGTCTATATTTACATAAGCCAGAAGATTGACCGCAAAACTCCATCCGTTCGGAGAATCGCACACACGATCATGCAGTGCGTACCATAATCATGAATGGGATTAGGTTCGCTAACGACCAATAATTATTATCTATCCATACATTACTGTTTACACATCGTTCACACGAGTTCGCGGGGTGATCCTGTCGATGCATGTTTTATCTGTCATTAAGCGCGTGCTGTTGTTCAAAAGGCCTCATGTTCCACAGGCAGTCAGTCGCACTTGGGCATATTTGAACCACGGCGATGGATTGAGGGTTTTCATTTGCATCAGAGCTTTACGTTGCCAAGCGCCCCTGGCCGACCACGATGACACTCCTCGTGCGCGTGCACTAACACGTGGTCCTTCAAAGGCCAATGGTGGCCTTCAATAACGAGGCTGCTATGGGCGGTGTCGTAACCGCAGCAAGCAACAACCATCTGGGTCGTAGTATCTCGAAGCGAATACGCAAAACAAGAGGTTCAAACGGAAGAGAAGCTAGCGGTAGTGCGTAGATAGAGCCTAGGGACGGCCTCCTGTTCGATATAGGATACAGCAGATCACAGCTAACAACAAAAACGCGATTAGGAACAACTAAAAGGTAGAACAACTAAAGATTCGCTCGCCTAGAACAACCAGTCGTTGTAGTGAACTAAGGCACAGGATGAAGATGCATAGTGCCAACGAAAAGTTGCAAAAACAACAAACATTAACAACACAGGTAGCGGCAGCGGCATGTAGCACTAACCGACAGATTAATAGGGCTTCTTAGCGATATCTACGAAAATATGGTAGTGGATAGCGCGAGCGGCCCCAACTGCCATTGCCTATTGAGCTCGTCGCGATGATCGATGTAATGCTCAGCCGGTCGGTTTTGGCATGTCCGCAATTGGTAGTACTTACCCACTAGAGTCTGCTTAAAAGAATTGAGCTTTCTCATCTATGATTCTGCTCTGACAAGTGTAATGGACCGCAATCAGTAGAATACCACAATGGTGTCGTTGAAAGGAGAGGCGTTCGCTCGAATAAGGTAGACCGTACCAATTGGCATCGGTTGACGACCGTTCATAAAAGCGCCGAACTGTAGAATTACCATCTTAGGACGCGGCCGCATGCGAGCCGAATACCGAAGCTCAACGGGCTAACGCAGCGGCCATGCAACCGTTCCGCATGCACTTCTTGCATAATGGCACGGCAGGGGATAACCTGCACTGTGCCTCTCATTTCCTTCGGCCTTCCGCCGCACCTGCGTATGTGTATCTGTGTATTTAAAATGGATCGTATAGTAACTGTGAAACAAACGACACAGAAGACTTGGATTACTAGTAAGTATTACGACCAAATTCGAGCTAGCCCATAATCACTTCAGGCTAAGGAAGCTAATAAGTCCTGACAAAGAAGAAAACCAATGCCAGTTGTGACATCCGTAACTGCAATAACAACTACAACCAGAACGACCATGCTAACGGCAGCAGGCCAACGCAAAAGGAGCACGCATAGCAAATTACCGCATGATAGTAGACGCTCGGCCTAAACAGGCAGCCGATAATGACGCCCTAGCATGCGACACTGGCGCCGTCTGTGCAAACATGTGCGAAACTTGCTCTCCACACTCGCGACCGTGGCCGGCGTTACCGCAATGAGCAAAACCTGATATAATGACTGTATGTGCAAATTCTGGTTGGCTAGATGAACGCATAAGCAAATCAATGGACCTACTGACGATCGCGCTCCCGGTCACGAAGGTAAACAGTCAGACGATGCACGGATGCAAAGGAACGGGACGGACACTCCTTTGTGGCGGCAAGCTAAGGTTGCCAACATAAAGCGTCGCACCAGTTCATGCTGCCAAATCGATTAAGTAAGTGGACACCGCAGTGTACATCGGCCAAGCTCATTTGTCCATGATCGAAAACAACAACGACTGCTCAACATGGTACGATCTCAATCGGATTTGACTTTACTTAGAGATTTTACAATATTGCACATATAGACTCGAAAAAAGACTGCTGTTAAGCATATCGACAACGCGCTGCAGCCGGTTGTTCTGTGGAATTAAAGAAACTGATCAATGGCAGTAATTGCGTTAGGCAGCGGTCAAATAGTATTGGTATTCCCCTTGAAGTCACCGAACCGGGGTTCCTTGATCGCTCGATAGGCGAGCGTCACGGTAAGTTGAGCTGGTTTAGTTTCGTCCGTGGGGTGGCCAGGATGGTGAATGAGCTGACCCAATAGCCGGGCATACGTGCATTAGCAACGAAAAAGTGACAATGACGATTCGGACGAAGAATAGAAAAGACATTGTTGAAGAATATTCTAACGAGGATAAATACCAGCAATAGCTTCTTATGTTAATGCGTGTGAAGAAAACCAGCTCCATAGCATAATTTCATTGGGTTACAGGAGTAATGAATGCCTATCCTTTGAAATGCTGATGGCGGGGGTGGCCACATTACCAGCTGGCATCAGCTGATCGCCGAGCGGTCCGAATCTACACAGTTGAACGCGATTTGAGGAGTGGAAACGTCGCCATTATCGCTGCTATTAGCTGCTGCTATGTGTCCGTTGTCCGTAACGACGTATATTAGAATATGGCTTGTTTGACAATGTACATACATTGCAGAGTGGCCGAGCTTTGTTGTGCGATCGTCGAATGGGATATTGGGGTAACAGCAAAAGCAAAAAAAAATTGACACGGGTGCGAGGGTTCCTTGCCACTCAGGCACGGTACCGTGGCCTTGGTGCTTCCATTTACCCTTATTAATAGTAGCTGAGTGACAGTGCGGTACGGATCTGTTATTGTCCTGTTTGGCATTAACACACTGCTATAGCAATGTTATTATTGATTATAGCCGAGAATAACATTATTCGGAAAGGCAACTCATTTACGCAAATGTATCCAGATTGTGATAGATTTAATATCTTTTCAGGTTCTTGTTATAGCAAGAAAGATCTTATTCTGACTTCCTGCTTGCGACCAGAGTTATGCCAAATTCAAAATGGTTTACTTAAAGCTTTATGAGAAACGTATTATCCTCTGCGAGTATAGGTTGACCGTAACGGTGGAAACCCTTCTGCCAGTTCCCTAAATTGTTCGTCTACGTAAAACTAACTATCGAGTTCATGCATTGGTAAAATATGTGCGTGTGTAACGCAGTGCAGCTTTCCCGAGCCAATTTAAAAACACGTTCTATTTATTATGATCCTTTGTCAAACAATGCTAGCATATCCACGTTTACTTGCTTTTTCTCTATTCCCCTTGTCTCCATGCATAATTATTAAAGTTAGAATTAAAATGGTGACTTTTTCTACTAACTGTGTTTGCTACGCGTGTTGGCGTTTACATGAGTTTGTTTTAAAGAAAACCTTCTCGATCTGTCCGTCGGTGACGTTGCTTCGCTACCATTCCTGCCGCTGCTGTCGCTAACGAACTCATAATGGCTGTATTCAATTCGTGAGCGCCTGCTCGTCATAACGCTGCCATTGGCTTACACATTCGCTTGAATGCTTTCTCGACTCGCTATCATTCTCTGGTCGCCACTCGTTCTCTCCTCCGTATTTTCCACCAGTAGAAGAACCTGTGCGTGACATAGAAAGGTCATCGGCATCAGCGCACGTACCTGTGTGCCGATCAGCCGAAACGAAGCTTGAAAAGAAGACAAAGAAAGCGTCTGATTACCACGAGCGTGGTTGACCAACGCTGATTGTACCTATCGCCAGCTGACGATAATGTAATAGTACCGCGTTAGGGAAACCAGCTACGGCGGTAGGAATACGCGCCATGCCCGTGACTTCAGTACACGAAACAGCAATGAGGCTGGCGAGATCGTAAACGATACGGGACCTAATGTCCGCTCGATCGTCTCCGCGTCTACTGCAGTGACGACAATAGTAAAAAGAATGACATCTTCATGTCATTTTGTAATCACGGCGGAGCCCCGTAGGATCATCAACAACATCTTTATCATCATCACGATCAGTATTATATTCATTATTATTAGCGTCTCTATAATGCCGTAGCTCAGCTATGGCAGCAGCGGCCACAATAAAGGCAAATGTAACAACTTGTGGAATTCGAGCATCATGGCTTGTTGTGTGTAACGGACTATACCCCCGGTGAAAGTGCCATCCGTGAAAAATATCAAATTAAATAATAATCATATTGCCGCAGTGCAGAAATTTGCTGGCGTTGAGGAAAATGTTGTATTGTGCATTTGTGGCTCCTAAGTGTCGTTGATCTGTAAGGTTGCACTGCAAAATCTCAAACAGACTGCAGTTATCCATAAACAATAAATTTATAATAATCAGTTGTTATGCTATCAGTTAAATCATAAATAATATTCACGCACTTTTCTTGCGAGTACGTTTATACAGAAACACAATGAGGTCCGAACACGATGCGCCACGATTCATGTAAACAAGTGATTATATACATATTCATGATGACCGTCGTGATAGTCATACAGATACAATTCCTAGTAATGTAAATTATATAGTCGATTTTATAAAAACTTATTTATAAGTTAAAAACTCATCACTAGGCCTCAGTCATATCCATTAGTTGCTATTGACGGTAGAGAAGTTGGTTGATAGAGTTCATCTCTAGCAACCCAGGTCAGTGGACCTGAAGTT